GAGAAGGGAAACTCCAACGCCGCCAATAGCGATCCATTGGTTGGCGCTGAGGCTGCCGCTATTTTGGGCTTTTTTCTTTTGTATCCGAGGCTGGCTCAGGGGGATCTGTGGCAGCTTTCGCCTTATTTTCCTGAAGAGCCCTATAAGCCTCGGCATCTTTCTTCTGTTGCTCCCGTGCTTGGCACGTTTTTTCAGATGTCGCTTTACCAGCGGCCACACGATTGGGGTTTTTCTTGCGCTGCGTGTTTGCAGTCCGACTCGTCGCTTGCTGTGTGATATTGGCGGCAGGCGCTGCCTTGGTCTCTACCTGAGGCGCGGTGACGGCGGTCTCAGTGACAGTGGTAGGCGTGCTCTCGGATTGTTCGGTTGACATTGAAGCGAACCGTATTATGAGCAAATGAAAAAAGTTCAATTGTTAAAAATTCTCAGCAAGACCTCCGCCTTTGTTGATGGATGGTGACCATTTATTCTGCAGTTGCTGAGCCGGGTACTTCATCAAAGGCCTCAAAACGCTCAAACGGATTGATATTTTCATCATGAGAAGGGTGGGTCTGCACGGGCGACTGTGGACTAAAATCAATGTGTTTCGTGGTGATCAACAACACGTTGGCCGCGGCAAGAAACCTGCTGCACTTCAAAGCCAGGTTGCCGGCCAGATTTGAGAGCTCTTTGTTCAAGATGTAGTCGGCTCTCGGCTCTTTTTGGTAAGCCTCGATGTCTTTCATTTTGACGGTCATTCCGACCGCTTTGGTTGCAAGAAAAATGAAGCTGTCGATCAGGTTTGCCGTTGTCTTTGAGCCCACGTACGCCACGTAGCGTTTGGTGTATTTCTCAACCTCTTTGTCGCTCAGGCGCTTCACCTCCTCGTGGGTCAGCTGGACTCCGATGGCCTTTTTGGCTTTACCTGTGGACACCACCACGGCCAGCTGCTCGCGAAGAGCAGGAATGTCGGGCGCAGTTGGAACAAGACCGCCTCCTGGGCCACTCGCCAGAGCGGGCTGCGTTTCAAGAAGATTCATCACATCCTGCAACGCGTCTTCTGCAGACATGGCGCGAGGCTATCCACAGCGCGCATTTTTTATTCAAATAACTTGACCCCGTAGGAGTGGCGAAGCGCGAACACTAGATAAGAGAACTTGCGCTCTTTCAGCTTTGAAAGCAAGCCTCTGTACTCATCCGGGTGGAGCT